CAGAAAAATAAAAACAGATATTTTGGAATCCAGTACTTGAGTACTAAAAACCAGGACACAAGTGAGCAATTTTAGTGCCTCTGTAGTGGAAAACGAAGCTTTTTCCACTACAGAACAGAAGTAGAAATGGACAGATGAGGCTCTGGAAAACCAAGTCCTCTAATGTCTGAAAGTACAAATCTCCCACTGTCCCCTTTGCAGCCTGAGAAATTAGGGAGCATCCATTTTGAGCCTTTTGCTCCAACTAATGTGCAGCTATGGGCCATATTGTCTGTTATGTTATTGTTCCTTCGCTTTGCTCAGTCTTTTTCAGGGTCATCCCCACACACCATTACTCTTTCTGATTCAAAGACAGTGTGAAATTCATGTGCTCTGTCTGGAAAGTTATCTACCATTAATATCAAAGTGTTTAATTTAGAATTTTCAAAACCAAAGTTAGTACTATGTAATATCATCATCCCTTCCTATTCTCTTGGATCTTATCTTGGGTGTCAGCAGAACAAAGTGTGTGAAAGAAGATCTGGCACCAAAACCACAAAGATTACTGACTATGTTGGCAAAATCCACGTAACTGGTGAGCTTCATTTACTGTAGCTGTTATTGCTCCTAAATCCTCTGGCCAAATATGATATGAAAAACGTATCAAACGTTGTTACCAATGCATTAAAATGTGTCTGACTCTAGGGGGCAGTGTTCACCTCTGATTTACACTGAAGAGCTTCTGTGGCAATGTGGCCAGCATGACTATATGCAGATAGAAGACACATAAATAGCATGTATTTAAGAGTGCAGTTGTGACTCATGCATACTAGATGTCAGGATTGCTACACATACAAAGATCGTTTAAAAAGACACTATTATTTAAAAATCTAAATGTTTAAAACTGCTCTCTTTTAATGGCGTATAACATGCCCTGCCAGGATAACAAATGGTTTAACAAATCTCAGAAAAATTCCAAACAATTTATTAATATCCATATACTTATAACCCATTTTATGTTACTCATCCTCATTATGCCTGAAGCATTCACTATCTCATACAGTGTCACCATATAAACTTGCTTATTCCATTTTATAGACAGAAANTTGTGGCTGCTGTTTGAAGGAATAACAAAATAATAAGAAAACCAAAAGAATGCTAGAGGGATGTTTTTTCTTCTGTGTACATTCACTGTAGTTTGGAAAACCTAAACCAGCTTTCAGCAGGATCCATTGTGACATTTGTAATGATCAATCCTTGGAATCCGAGCACATAGATTAGAGGTAATCTTTTACTAACCCTTCCAGCTCCACATTTTGTTCCAGGTGCAACCAATCCAAAATCTGGCGTTTCTGCAGAATAAGCCCCTTCGCATTCCAATTCATTTCCATGTCTGCAGAATAACCTGCCACACTTTACATCCCTGAAAAGGAAACAGTGAATTCATTCTAATTAAAAAGAATGGAATAATGAGAGGATGTTCATTTGCTAATCTCTTCAGTGACTTACAATACAATTAGAAGTTGGAAATTGCTAAAAACAATTATAACTAGAATAAAAGCTAAAAACCAAGATGATGGGCAGTCTGGGGGTAAGAATTGCCTCTTCCTGGTCAGCCATCCCCAACCTAGCAGGCCCATGTAGGGGACCCAGGCCAAGGGGCAGAGCCAGATTCATAGGCTGTTCCAGGAGGCTAGAATTCTGGGGTCAGATCTCACTTCTGATAAGAAAATATTGCCATGAAGAGAAGACTTTTCTCCTGCACCTGGACAGCCAAAAGTCTTTGGCTGACAGAATCTGAAGCAGGCACTTTCCACCGAAGGACTGGGGCAGGTCAATCTCAACAAGGTAAGGCAATTCCACCAATATCTTAGACCTATTTCATAAAGAGCTTTAAAGGTAATGACCAACTGCTTGAATTGGGCCCAGAAGCAAACTGGCAACCTGTGTAACAATGTGGTCACACATGCCATGTTTCAGGGGTGTCCAGCACTGTTAGCATCATTGCCTTCTGTACCAGTTGTAGCTTCTAAATGCTCTTCAAGGGTAGCCCTATGCAGTAGTCCAGGTGGGACCAGGGCATGAGTGATGTGCTAACAATCTTGATCTTGGCTTAACCTTTAGGTGTTTTTGTTAAGTTAGAAATTGAGAACCAGAAGTTTGCTCAGCCTCAATAGGAACTAGTTGCCTCCAACACATAAGTGAAAAATCTCACAAGGTGTTTTGGAGATCACAGTTCCTGCATCTCCAACCGGCTCACTGTGATTTCCCTGTTTTTAAGGATGAAGATGGTTGACTCAGGATTCTAATCTTAAGAGCAAGTAATGTATCCGTTATCCACCTGGAAATCCCTTAAAGCAGATTTAGGAGACTTTAGAGATTTTCCAGATTTCTAGCTTAAAAATCTCATAATCTCTGATTAGTTGATGATAGGAGATGATGGAAGTTGAAATCTAAAGATTGACACTACAGTGTGTAATAGCCAAAAGAAGAATTTGGATTTATACACATGACTAAAAGATAATGTGGCTTAATGTTTAGTTTGGGTTCAAC